AAAACACACAGTGGGCTCAACCACTGGAGATGTTACCCCTTTTCCTGTGATTCCCTCATGGCTAGAACAATTCTCCAGTCGTGGTTCATGAGGCACTGGTGTAGGCCTGGAAGAGCGACTTTATAGACTAAGGAAGAAGTTGACCTCACTGAGGAGATGTGAAGGTCTTGGTGCCAGTTTTGTATTTTATCTAACTAGAATTTCACATAGAATGCACAAGATGTTCTTGGAACAGGGATTATATCCAAACATCCCCTCTTAGATCAATGTTTCAATCTATGCTTTAAGGGGTTAAAATTTTCTTTTCTCCAGTACCAAAACTCTGGGATTGTTTTCTGCAAAATGTTCTGTTTCTGAAAGCAGCAGCTTACGTACCTCAGTGCACAAGAGGGCTGCAGGATATGAAACTTGATCTGGTAAAAAAACAAGTCCCTGTGACCCAGCATTAAGTATCTAATCCCTCTGACAGGGCAAGGGTATAAGACCCAACTCTGCCATCAGGGTTTGCTATTAGATAACTTTGACAGCTCCCTATTTAACACATAGTCTATTTTGATTCTCATTCATAGGTTCAATGACTAGAGAGCTTTGGTGTTTTATTCAGGGGTGTAGATACCACTAGGCACCTAAAATTTAGTATAGTGACTCTGAATATTACCATATTAACCTTAATTTAAGGATCTAGTTCATACTCTATCCTCCTTATTTTTCATTTCCAATATTAAATAGGCCTTTAAAGGCTGTAGTTTGTTTCTATGACCTATCTATTGTTCAGCCAAAAAGCAGCAAGCAATTAGCAACAACAAATATTTGGGGTATTAATTATGTAGCTTGTTCTCACTGTGTCCTAGCAAGGTATCTGGATACAGAACTTCATCTGACTCCTCTCCCCGCTGCCCTGAATATAGAATTAAGTAAATGCAACAGGTTATACACACCACAATATGAAAATCATTTGTTACATGTACAGTTCAGATAATAGCCATGGGACGTACCTCCTATGGTATGGGGTGTATATACCTTATATACCTGTTGTAATGCAAGCAAGCCTTTTTCTACTATATTATTTTTAATCTTTCTATTATATCAGACGAATCTTTCATGACCACGGGCCTGCCACATAGTATCATACCTTCCTTCTGTTGCACTGCCTGAAGAAATAACTAGAAACTACTAGTAATGAAAGTATTAACTAGAAATACGTTACTGAGGCCTAGTAGGCAAGCTAAATATGAATCACTGCAAAAACACAACACATCACCTGTTCCCTCAAATAAGTAAAAGCCAAATATTTTGCCATTGTTATAAAGGTGTTGCTTCCATACTACAAACAAAAGTAAGAGGATTTTTAAAAGGTAGCTTATCAAATGATAAATAAAAAAGATAAAATTACTTGCTTTGTTGTTTTAAGTACATAAGTACTTAAAAATTCAGGCACCTGTGTTCACAGATCAGTCTAGAGTCCTGTTTTGCAATCGTAAGGTACGATATGCTGACTAAATATCTTAAATGTAGAACATAAAATACAATTCCAAATCTGAGAAATGTTAACAGTATTCCACTTGTATATAGATGAAATATGCTTATTTTAACATTCAAATATTTACCCTAAATTCCAGCTCTGATGACTGTACATGTTGAAATGGCAGACCCAAATGTTTAACCTGTTGGGCACAGGAATACAGCTGTTCAAAGCTAGCTTTCTGTAGAGACTGAAGTAATTTAGCTAAATGTTAGCTGATATTTAGCAACTGGTTTAAATATATTATGGCACACACTAAAAACCCACTAATTTTTAATGAATGTCTCTATTAATAGATCCTCTCTATTTATCCCCTGCATTCTTTTTGCAGGTCATATTGACTCTCCTGGGCTCTCTGTAACATTTTTCTGCTGTCCTCCAGAGACATTCAATCCAATGACATTCTTCCACTCATAGTCCTGGGCCCATCAATTATCACTGACCCCTTTTCTTACTGTCCAATCAGTTGAGCTGAATTTTTGACAACCGACCAAATATTTTGGGTTGAAATAAATGAGAGAAACCACTTTCAACTTGTACATTACATGCAGAGGACCACCACTCAAAGGTTCCCCTGACTCCAGGATGTCATGGTTCCCAGGTAAAAGAGCAAAAGATTCCCCAAAATACACCAAATCCTTGGCGTCCCTAGGATTCAATTAAAAACACAACCAGGCTTTCCTACTTCCATGGTGGCTAAACTGCTCAGCTCTGATTGCAATAAGGCCTGTGTCCAAGATTATTAGTTATTTAGCTATCTCAGATGCTTAAGCATTTGGACTATGTCTGATTTAGATCTCTCTAAAAAATAGACATTACATGTCTCTTTTAGGACCAAAGCTCTGGGAGAAGAAAACTCTGCTGGGCCGTGAACTGCAAATAAAAGTCATTACCCTCAAATGGAAAGCAAAGTAGCTATTACTTTGAGCAGAGAGCCACTTTCAGCTTAACTCAGTTGAGAATGTAGGAATGCACCTATGCACAGATGTACTTCCAAACCTTGGGGACCAGAACCATCCTGACAACTAAAGTAGTCCGATGGTTAAAGTACATCCTGTTGGATGGAAGGCCCAGGTTTGGTGAAGCTGAAGATATTCAAATACGGATTCGAATCCTGTGGTTTAGTGAATAGAGCATTTACCTAACAGGACAGGAACTTGGGTTTTGGTCCTTGCTCTGAATTTTATGAATTTTGCTTTAAACAGTTTTAGGGTAAATTAGATTGAAGAAGGAACTTTGAACTGGGAAATTAATCTAAAGAGTCTTCTTTCTGGCATGATAGTTTTAACTATTAGACTAAAACATGTCTTATGTGCTTGTTCTCTCTTACCCCAGGACTCTAGTAGTTGACTGCACAGCGACAGTTTCAGGAGGACAGATGCAGAGTGTTTTCTTCACCTTTTCAGCCCTCTCAACTGAGGACGTTTATTCTGTCAGAATATATTAGACAATACTTGAGAGCTTCCACTGTACTGGAAAGCGAAGCAATACCTGATGCTTTTATCCCAGTGAGGCTGAAATTCTAAACCACTTAGACCAGGGGCTTATCACACTGCAGAGTGAACAACCAAAAGTAAGGGAATGTCATGCTTTTTTAAAAAGTGCCTTCAAACACCAGGAAAAGGCTAGGTTCTTTCAGCATTTGTCATCTCCAGGTAAAGAAGGGTTTGCGATCATTATTTTGGACTTAGATTCAACCTCAATCCTGCTTTAAGTCTAAGCCTAAGCTTTTTATTGGATCTAACTCCTAATGCCTATTGAAATAATTTCTTAATGTTCTTAATGTTCTCAATGAACATTTTGCTGCTATATACCTTTGACACAGCCTTCTGTGTTGCTCCTTAATGCCTCTAGCCTATCACTGTAACTTGTTCATGGGTTGCTGCCAAAAGTTTCCAAAGTATCCAGCTGTCAGCACACACATCAGCAATAGATCACCCCCACACTTGCTCACCCCACTGAATGCACCACTCCCACAAATACTCCAAAATTTCACCCCGCTGAAGGACAGGAATGCTAAGGTGCCTCCTGTAGCAGAGTCTCCTAACATCCTGAAACATGTGACTAAGTTTTAAATGGACTTTAAAAGATGTATTTCAGAGCTAAGCTAACAACTAAATAACTTCACTATTATGTAGCTTCAGTCATATATTGCAACCAAGCCTTTCACAGTCAATGTGGCATTTCACAGTGGCAGTAAGGAGAGAGAAACAAACACAGCTTAAAACTAACTCTTTTTCCTTCTTAAATTCTAGGGCTCCAGTAACATTATGTAGACTCAGTGCTTCTTTTAAGATACTACCTATGATGGCACTTGTGAACATCATCTGGAAAATGGCTGAAGCACAACATAATCTGTCCATCTTTTTCTTTCTTTGGGCATGACTCTATATGGGAGACACACGATGTTGGAGCAGCAGAGCCGCTAGCATGCCCACCCCACAGGACTCCTGCTGCGTGGGGTCAATCTGGGCTCTCCTTAGGGCAGCTACCAGGCTTTTCTGCCTCACCCAAACCACACAAGCAGCCTCACTGAATGCCAGGGATATGCCCTGTGTTTTCTCTTGGTGTTTGATTAGCTCTAGGTAACAAGCCATGTTAAAAAGCAGTAAACCTAATTCAGACACGCTCAACATAGTTGTAGCACTCCTTTGTAAAATTTATTTAATGCTTTGTAGATATGCTTAAGCAACACTGATGGGTGAACAAATGTCATTCAAAGGCTTCATCTGGAATAACAGTTCAGTGAAATTCTTAGTCTTGTTACAGAGTACTCATTTACAAAACCCAAAAGCATTTGTGCGCATGAGCGAATGGTAAGAGGCCTGTGGCTGTGGCCTTCAACCTCTTCAGGGTGGAAACACACATCTACTCTGCTATGCAGTTACATCCCAAAAGTTACAAGATGTTACTGAAGTCAAAGCCTTTACATTTTTTGAACAGGGGTACCACTGGGGATCTAAGGCAAAACAATGAAATAAAAATTTGGAAAAAAATATTAACCTATCAATAGCAGATTATTAACTGCAATGTCAGTACCAAAATACTGACTTAGTTTTTGTATTGTTCCTTGTGCTGTTAAGTACTACACAAAATCTTAGAAAAAAACTCCCCCCAAAATATGAAGCTTTACTGCAAAAGAAATTACTGCAAGAAAACGATGGGGTTTAGTACTAAAGAGATACGAAGCATTGCTTCTTCATACCCTGCTAAGGAGCAACAGCTGTACTTAATTTTAACTTGACGTGCTTCAGAACTCCTATTTATATAGGTATTTAATGATCCAAATATAATGGTCCTATATAGTATAATTACTTATATGAAGGCTCAACTTCATATGTAATCTTTTAAAAAAGATGCTTCAGTGGAAAACTTGCTTTGGTTCTAACAATGAATAAGCTCTTTAACAGTGACAATCTTCGGAGGGGTTGGAGACTATTGACTATGGATCTTGAACACAGTTGACAATCAAACAATGTTATTCCTTCTTGACAGACTCCTTGTTTCTTCCTCCTTCACAGTACAGCCAATACAAGGAGAACAGGTAGAGTGCAAGACAAACCATCAAATCATAGTGGTAGAGTGTTGCAGCAAATAAAAGAAAGAAGAAGAAATAAAAGATTTTGCAAGCAATATGTTTCAAACCTGGAGACTCACCAGGTAGCTTAAGTGCTTCACTCTTCTGGTTAGAAATATCTGCAGAATCAGAAATGTGCTGGCTTTCCTTCTGTGAGTTATCAAGCCAGTTTAGTGTTTTCCCCTCAGTTATTAAATGGTGAGATTGAGAGCCTGTCCCTCCAACTTCTTTGGTAGGCTTACTAATTAAACCCTCTGGCATCGATGACTTCTCTTGTTTGAACCCTGTTTGTTGGAAACATTGACCTATATTCCTTTCTCTTCCTTCTCTAGAAATTGCTATGTCTGAAGTGGAAGGTACTCCTACTTTTTCAGCTTCAGGAGGGAGGCTTTTATTAATACGTGTCACTTCATTCGGTAGACTTAAATTGTACCCTGACTCAGCAGCAACCTTATCAATGACTTCGAATTCAAAGTGTCTATACAGATGCCCCATACCTCCTGCCACAGTGGACACTTCTGAAGATGCCTCCAAAGAGCTTTTATAATGGTAACTGGGCACAGTATTTGTACCAGAAGGTGGCATTTTTGTTTCAGCTTTAGCATGTAAATAGGAAAGTGTACCAACACGGCTTTCTTCCCTACAGAGCTCTGCTGCCTTCTCACTGTATAGATGCTTCTGGGTGCTTGGGGAACGTTTAGGTACTTCTGGATATAAATCCTGCTTCAAACCTTCTTCCTTTCCTGTAGCAGAAGCCTTTCCTGCTTCTACAGGTAAAATATTGCCAATGTCTGATTGTGCTTTGGCACACTTTTCCCTGATACTGCATATAGACATCGTTTCTTCTTGCAGCGTTTCATGTACACGTGCATTATAAATACCTAAAACTGATTCCTTTTCAAATTCAGTGTCATATAATACACCCACTGTGTTGAGTTGACAAAGAGCATAATGTGAACCATCATTTCTCCCTTCATGTGTATCAAACGCTGTTTCCTTTTCCTCTGTGGGCCTGTCACTTATTGCAGTCTCTTGAGGTAGCTTAGCAATTACTGCTTTTTCACTGGCAGACATTTTTTCTGGAGCACTTTCTGATGCTGTTTTAATTATATAAGCTGTACCTGCCTCTGCTTCCTCTGTAATACCCTGCTCAGAGACAGAAGACTTTTCACAACTCTCTGCCTCCTGGCAGGTAAACAACTCCTTTGTGGAAGCCGTGCTCTGAGGTCCTGTGTTCTCCCTAGCTCCCCACCGAACCTCACTACCTGTTTCTTGCCACCTCTGCTCCACGGGGCTTGCTTCGCCTTCCTTTCCTATCAGTCTTCCTTTATTTGTGCTGTCTGACTTTCCTCTGTCTTTTAACCTTGTGAATCCTCTGTGTTCCCAAGTGTCTCCAGCTCTTCTTTCATCCCCTGGAGAGGATGCTAGAGGATCTGCCTGTGCAGGCCTGGGTGCTTGCTTGTTGTCTTCAGCTGACGGAGGCGTTGTGTTCAACGCTTTGGCAGTGTGTTTTCTATGTGATTTGAAAGGCTTGGGTGCTTCCTCCTCGCCGATTAGTGCTAAGTCTGCTACTTCGATGACTTTCTTCTCCTTCCCTGCATCAGTGTTATAGTTCTTTCCTGACATTTCACCAACTCCTTTTTTTTGCGTATATTGGCTTTTCGTGGAATCTATTGAGACGTCAGCATGTGCAAAAGTGTCGGCGTATAAATCTCCTCTTAAATGTACCTGAACTTTGCTTTCAATCATCTTGATTTTTCCTTCACTTTTGTCAGCATCTGACAACAATGAATCCAGAGTTTGGTGAGACGTTTGCGGCGCCTGGTGCTCCGGAGCTGGATTAGCATTGCCATCCAGCGTACCTGCTATGCATGCATTTAATTGCATGGATTCATCATGCTCTGGAGAAATGGTTTCTGGTCTCGTTTCACAGGCCCCTTTCAAAGTATCAGCAGCATCCTCACTGATGAATAATCTCTCCATCATCTTACTTCCCAAGGCACTATCTGTTTCACCTTTTGAAATATCTGTGTGGCTCTCTCCTTGTCGACTTGAGACAGTAGCTGTAATATCAATAGACTCATTCTGCTTTGTCCCAGGAAAATATTTTTCCAATAAAAGGCTTTCACTGGTACCAGTACGTTCCAAAAACTGCTCACCACTGTTTACCAAGCCAGCAGCAACTTCCGTCCCTGATGGCTGACTATTATAATCTCTTAAGGAATACTTAACTTTATCTTTTAATTCTCCTCCTATCTCTTGTGAAGTGTTTTCAGATGAGGAACTGATAGGCATAGGGTGCAAGTCACTGCTGCTTTCTATACAGGCTAGCTTTTTCTCCAATCTTTCAGTGTCACTTGGAGAATTAACTGGTTCTGTTGTGTATAAATTCCTTTCATCTCTGGAAGAGGTACCTCTAGCTCCTGTGAAGTGCTGATTTAGCTGAAACAATAGAATAGAAAAGAATGATCAAAAAGTGCTTTGCAAAAATATGCCAAATGAAGGAGGCAGTATTTTGTTATGGAAAGTTTTGTTTTCAGTAACAAAGCTTTTATGGAAACGTGTTCCAAACCATTTGCAAAATTTGCATTGTATGTATTTTTTAACATAGGTAATGAGCTTTACGGTGGTGCTGAAATAAAACAGCATTCAGAACCCTCTCTCTTTATTCATGAGTTCAGTAAGCTGCTAGTGCATTTTATACAAATTAAATCTGAAGAGAATATTCCCTTAAAGGGAGGCTAATTCATTCTCTATACATTCGGTTCTAGGTTTGGCAAGAGAGAGGTGAGGGGTGAGGGGGGAGGATTGGCGCTTAAATGAGGGCATTGATACAGTACATCAAAGCCTGGTAATGTACAGTATTGTCCAGTAAAACAAAGACACATTTCACACTGACAAATACTGTAAGGATTATCTGTGCTTCATTTCTCTCAGGGACCATTTTACAGGCTTCAAACCAGACTGTTTTTAGACAATCTGGTAAGACATGAGTTGGAAATGAGATTAGCGAAGTAAAAAGCCAGGAACTAATCACTCTCCCTCCTAGCTCCCAAGTATCATATTGTATTATTCAGCTATGCCTGCTTGTCATTGCACTCTCTTCTCACTTTAGCATAGTCACACTGATAGCACTAGCTGATCAATTAGAGGCTAGCTTCTTGGGCACCCCTTTATGCATTTGCACTTGCTGTAGATACCCCCATTACAGTTTCTCTTATTAATATGTTTTCTGCAAAGCCTCTGCAAACTATTAATAGTAAAACGTCACTCAAAGAAAAGTGAAGGAGCTAATGTCTCTGCAAATTCTGTTTTAATGACCCTCTGCCAACCAGTGCTCAAGTGTATTTGAGTTCTTCGGTGATGCCAACTGTCAGGATTTAACAGTGAGATGCCTGTGTTTTTTTTCCCCTCCTCATAACTGACATTTGCATGATCTCAATAATTATATGCAAATCTTACGATTTCCCCTTCTTCTCACATAAGGCTCATGTTACTTGTCAACTGCACAGCTGTCTTGTGAGCCAATGCCTGTGCGTTTCAAAGATTTGGTTGTATTTCCATCTATTATAAGCCTTCATTGTTTAATTCATTAAAGAGCGCATAGTGCAAATTAACATCTAAATTATAGCTCCCCCTTCATTTATTGTATGGACAATCCTGGCAATTGATAAACAAACGGTTATATTTGATCCTGCTTTTTGTAACAGGGTGGACTGAGAACAACAAGGGATTTTAGAGGTCCTACTTTTTATGTTTTACCATTAAAAAAAAAGGAGACATTGACTTTCAGGCAGTGAAACGTCCCACAATAGGCAACAATTTTCAACTTTTTTTTGGCAAAAGACAAGAAAATTTATATTCAAATAAGAGGAATTTATTCTCTCTCTATCAATAAGAAAAAAAAGAGAATGGTTCTCATCTTCCTCTCCTGTCTGATTCAGCATTCACATTTTCACAGGTGATAGCTATTATAATCTATGATTATGAATCTATGCACCCAAATGATATGAGCTGAGAACAGACACTGAGAATAATAGATTGCTGTATGTGTCTCATTTATTGCCATTTTTTCTTTCATACTGAAAAATGCAAGCCAAACCACACACACACATGCACACACACAAATCCAAATTGAATGTTCACTGAGTGTGAAATTTATTATAAAAAATTTAATGTCAAATACTGATATAGAAAAATCTGCTAATATAAATGTATATATTTATTTTGCTTATATAGCATGTTACGCAGTTATCCTTTGAAAAACCCCAAAAGCAAACATACCATAAATATAAGAATTTTACCAAATACAGAGCATTTATTTAAGAATATTTCCATCCTAGAAAATAGGAGGGGAGATTTTTGAAATGCTACTCTTCTAATTCCTTCAAACTGTCATTTAGAGCCTCTGGTAAAGAAGTAAAAGGGAGAAGTCATCAATTTAAGACCAGAAAAAGTTGATGCACTATACTGAAATCAAAGCACCTTCTATTGTTGAATCAGTTAGAGATTCAACAAAAGTACAGACCAAGGCTTTACATTTGTAAATTAGTACATCAGTCAGCTCTGTTAAAAGGGGGCATTTCACCAGCTTTGAAGCGTAAATGGATTCAAATCATTTAATACTGTAGATATAATTGTATAACACTTACCAGCAACTCTAATTCTTTTTCATCATCTTCGTGATCACCCTGGTTGTATTCTGCATTTTTATCTTTTATATTTTCATTAGCTGGTTTGGTGTCTTTGTCTTCTGCTTGTGAATAAACAATCTCTGGGATGTTTGTGTCTGAAGAGTTAACAAAAACATACTTGAATAATTTCCATGAGGTTGTTTGTTACACTATTTTTTAATTAACATGTGCAGTAAGGAAGAACTAATTAAACCGGGTGTTGTACCTGAGGTCCTTGAATTATTCCATGTGTCATCGTCAGACGTTGCCAATATTTCTTCTTTGCTGTTAAACAAAAATAAACTTCCTGTGTTAGTCTGCAAGAATTATTGTTCTAATTCTTCTTAGACTCTGATATGAAGACCACTAGTTAATTACACAAAATTTTGAATGCTGTTCGAAATTCTGAAAATAACAGCTTTATAAAATGTACCTTTTTTTGAGTGACCTGATATTAAGTCTTGGTCAAAGAAAGAATTGGCCAAGAAAATGAAAATGTGTTGACCTTCAGATTACATTGCAAAGCTGATGGGTTTTCCCAGGCCTTTTCTGAGAAAGCAGCACAAAGGTGATTAGATGGGTCAGTGACAGGAGAGTGTAACTTTGGGGTCAGGCAAGGGTCTGGAAGGATATATGTGTTCAGGAGACCAGGCCTCTCTCTTGCTTATATTTTTCAAATATTTGTATGTATACAGAGGTGGCTGGAAAATGACATCTTTGTTACCTGAAATAAATCAAAAGATTCTCTTCGCGTGTATACAGCATAAATCCTGTTGCTAAGCTATGCCTGGCTGGCAGGAAGAATTCTGCTTCCCTGCAGCTGGTGCAATTTTTGCTGTTGCTTTGCTGGCTGTGAAAACAAAGGTCAGATCCAACACAACAAACACCTACAGAAAGATGCTGAGTGCCTGCAGTCCTCATCAATATCAATGCAAAGTGATAGCAGTTTGAATTGTGTGCTTATAGGGGTGTAACCTTTAGTGGAAAAGGAAAAAAAATGTAAAAAGAATGTCACTTACGTAAAATGTAAATTATTATATCGCTCCTAATGTCTTCTCTATGAGGAGCAATTTTTTTTCTGTGGGTCTTAATTTATGCGTTTTTCAACCAGTAGTCCACCTCTGTTACTGAAAATTACTTTCTAATTTTCAAATATTAATCTTTTCCCCTTCTATTTTCTCCTAGCGTCTTTCATTTTAATTGATATAACATTAACTCTGCCACCTAAATGCTTAATTCAGAAGGAGGATGCTAAATTTATACTCCCTTACAAGAACCTAGACATCAACTGTCACCAACTTTTTAAAATCCAGCTTTTACAAGGATTGCCAGACTAAAGCAGACAGATGATCCTGCCAGTCTGATCTCTGACACTGGCCGCCATCAGATACTTCAGGGAAAGATGTAAAGTTCTTGTAGGACAATACTTGCAGTAATTTGCACTGCCCTATTAAATTTCCTCTTGGCCTTTTGTTGTTAGAAGCTAGCCTTGAAGCACAAGATTTAACGCTCAACGGTTCTTTTTCACCATTAATTGCAATAATGCTGAATATTCTTGCTATCCATACGAACGTCGTGTCACTCTTGAATTCTGGCACATGCATAGCCTCCGCTCATTTCTCACTCTCCTACTCACACCAAGTTGTACTTTCCCCTGCCAGCAGTTGCTATAATCTGCATTTCATCCTGAAAAGGCTGACAGAGACAGGCCCTTATTTTCAGTAGATTTATGGGGGTTTTAAGGCAAATCATTACTGCTTATTATTTATACATCATTATTCTTTTTTTTTTTTACTGATCAAATGCTTGTCATAGTGTTATATCCTGTTCCCAGTTTTCTTCTGCCCTTTTGCATCTTTTTCATCCACCTCTTTCCATAAGCTTAGACATAGTGTAGCTTGGGGCTTAACCACGAGACAGATGCATTAAACCATTTAGGTTCTAACAGGGTGTATGCAGAAGTCCGGAATTAGGAGCCAAGACATGACTAACACATACACTGAGTCAGGCACCCTAAAATAATGATCCTAAAAACCACACGGGCACAGCAGGGAACCTACTACTGCTATAAAGCAGGGGAAAAAAGTGTCTCAAAGCTTTTCTTTGAATGTAGCTGGCTACCTGCAGCTTTCAGCCATGTGGATGCAACTCTGCGGAAGCAGGGATAGTGTCCTTTACTGTTAGAAGGGGCCCTGGTCTACTTCTTAAAGGAATGGACTTTGACTTATTTTTTTTCTGTCAAGAAGCATTCCCAGTAGAAGGGGAGATATTGATGCCAATATCTAATGTAATAGTCTGTTGGCAGCCAGAGCTCACATTCAAGATGCAGTGGCACTTTCAGCTTTTATCACACCCTGATGAGATTAAAACTCACACTTCACACACATCCAAAAAGTACCCAAACTAACAGGACGCAGACTGTTTTAGTAGAAACTGGAGGGCAGATTTGCCTATCGCTTTTGAAGTTGGATGGACAGATGGGACCCTTACTTTTTAGCTTACTCTTCATTCCTTGGAGAAAAGAGAAACTGGATTCTGACTCCTGTTCCCTGTGTTCCCTGTGTTGGTTTTGGTTTTGATTACAAACATTTCAGTGTAAATATAGACACAGTCTTTGAATAAGGATGTTAAGGAGGAGTACCTATTTTCTGAACCTTTAAATTAACAAGTATAAAGTGCTTCAAGCTGGATGCTTATGGGCATGCGCCAGGATGGGGTTTATCTTATGTAGCCTTAGTTTTCTAAGCACCTGTGCTCTGGCAGTAGAGTACATCACCCGTATCATCAGCAGTGAGAGATTAACACTTCCAAAGGGAGATTCGTACCCTCTGTCATGGACATCACGAGTAAGATAGGATGACATATCCTTCGAAGGAGCTTCTCTGCCTCTGGAAGAGACTGACCATAAAGGGAATCTACAGTGAATGCCTTAGGCTGGAACCTTAAGTTTTAGATACCTGAAATTAGCTGAGTGAATCTCACCTTGTAACTAAATACAAACTGGAACATAGCTACTGAGTTTTAGTGGCCGGGGCTGTAATACACAGTGTTGTGAGCTGACCCCCTCAGTTCTACTGTTGTGATTAGAGTTGAATTTGTCCTTAAGTCTTGTTCTAGTAGCATCTGGACCTCTGGTCCACAAATTTATTTTCATAACTGCAACATAGGTAATAAAGAGTGATGATAATAGAGCCTCACCGCCTGGATCCACACTGCAGGGCTTTTAACATGACTTCTTGCATGTTGCACTGAATTTTGTAAACGTTACTGGTTTATAGCCCATTATTTGTGCACACCTGTCCTGCAAATAGCTGAGTACAGGCAAAGTCAATGCAACGGCTATTTTCCTTATTTTACTTCTATATCAGAAATATCTGTCCTCACATGATTATTCTAGTGGGAAATCTAAAATTAACCTAAATTGAGGGTATTGATCTTGCGGTCTTTGAGGATCACAAAGAGGATAAAGCAACAATCATTTAACAGCACTACTTCAATATAAGATGTGAGATGAAGATGCTGAGACTACAGGTGCATACAACTACAGAACAATCTCAAACATGTATGTACACCCTAAAGACTGAAATACTTCCCAAAAGCCAACAAACTGCTTCATCAAACAGTGACAATTGGAAAGTATTTGTCTAGTTAGTAAGTTTTTGGACTTCTTTTCTCCATTTTTCTCTGAAAAGTTCCTAGCTCATAATCAGAATTCCATAAGCAGATTTTTAAATTATAATATTAATTAAGCTTTTGGTTTATAAATTAATTACCTCACTGTGTTGTGGAGGGTGGTCTAAATGTGCCTACACTGGGTAGTGAGAGACAGAAAATTTACGTTCCAATTTTCTGTTTGAAAAATTTTTATTTTTAAGTGATGCAGGCATTCTGACAACAATACGAGCTAGAAAAATTCATGATACCAGCTGATGCCGTTCCCTCCAACATAAGTACCTGTATACCTGTAGAAGCTCAGTTGCTTTTTCTCCTTCAGCTGAATGGGGCACATCTTCATAAAGTACATCAGGAACTTAAGAATTTCTACCAGCTTCAAAAAAAACCCTTATGCTTATATGATTCCTTCTTGATGGAATTATCATTCACTTGGACTGAGTGATAAAAAGAAAGCAGGCATGAAAACAGGTTATCACTATAATTTTGCATTCAGAAAGAACAAATGGGAAGTTCAGGGACTAGTTAGTAGGACTGAGAGGACTGTAAATTTGATGGACGTTATGCAAGGAGTTCAGAAGTCCCAAAGTTATGTGGAATTGCCATCCCAAACAGAGAAAAAAAAATGTTAAACTTGAACCCAAAAGATGTGAGGAGTAGATAGACAATGTATAAGTGATGAGAAAAAAAAAAAAAAATTAGCCAATAAACAATATTTCTTTGACTTCAGAAAGGGTTGGGATAAAGTAAGCCATGATTTGGAATTAGTCTTTTTAAGTTAAATAGGGATTATTTAGAAGTGAGGTTTGATCAGATTTCAGATAATCTATGTATAACTCCATAATCAAAAGACTTCTCTTAAACTTTTCTACCACAGTACTAGTAGTAGGGTAGAATCTTATAGGAACACAGATCATATAGGTCATAAATGATAGGAACAGATATTTAGAAAATAATACTATTTCATCCAGTCTGGGAGCAGAACTTGGTGTTTAAATATGCTCCAATCAAGAGGAGCAGATAATCTCCAACCCAAAATACTGAGAGACCCAACAGAGGAAATCACACATTGGCTTAAAATCTTTGCTATTCAAATATATGAAATAGGTCCTGATACTACTGTAACAGTATCAGAAGAGTAGGAGAAGTAGTAGCTATATTTAGAAAAAGAAGTAGTGTCAGGTGTCTTCAAAAGTTTTCACAATAGATTTAGAACTAAACTTAAATGAGAGAATAAATACAGATAAATGGAAAACGGCATAAAAATGACAAACTCACCTGATAATATCTGTCTTTGATAAGATTACTATATTTCCCTTGTCTAAAAATCAGTTATCTAATCTATCTGGACTTTATTAAAGCATTTTTTGTGCAGCCACATGGGAAATTTATTAATTAAACTGGAGATGAGGGAGATGAATACAAAAGCTGGGCGGTGGGAGAAAGGCTTGGTGCCAAGCAGGGCCCCGTGAGCTGGGCTGCACGGAGCTGGCAGACATCGCCAGGGAATTGGAGAGGACTGGTCGTGTAATCAGACTTACTCAGTCATGTTATTACAGACCAAGGCACCAAAAGTCAAAGTTAAATTAAATCCATCACAGATAGGAGAGACA